TTTTTCTTTCTTTTTTTTGGAGATGGAGTCTTATTCTGTCACCCAGGCTAAAGCACAGTGGCTCGATCACGGCTCACTGCAACCTCTACCTCCTGGGCTCCAACAATTCTCCTGCCTCAGCCTCCCAAGTAGCTGGGACTACAGGTGTGTGCCACCACACCTGGTGCATTTTTAGTAGAGACAGGGTTTCACCAGGTTGGTCAGGCTGGTCTCGAACTCCTGGCCCCTGGTGATGCACCCACCTTGGCCTCTCAAAGTGCTGGGATCACAGGCATGAGCCACTGCACTCAGCCCCAGTCTCACTGAGCATCAGCCACACTTCTCTGGGCAACACCCGCTAGCCCACCATGCGTCTCTTTCCCCAGCTCACCTGAGATCTCCTCAAGGTCAGGGGCCCTGACTCAGTTTCTCTCATCTCCCCTACAGCAACCTCAAGTCCAGGAGGAAGAGGGGTGTATAGAAAACTTGGCCCCACTCAGCAGAAGGAAATCTCAAGAAAAAAAGTTGAGCTTCAGGAGAGCGTTTTACCATAAGAAACACAGCTCCAAGGAACCCAAGAGAGCAGGGCCAGCAGGGGCTGCCAGCCCAGAGACCCGACGGCCCAAGAGGCCCAACTTTCTGCCCCTGTGTGTCGGCGGCCATCGGGCCTCCACCTCCAGCAGCCTTGGTGAGCAGGCCTGGTGTTGCCATGGTAACAGAGCCTTCCTCTCAGACAGGGCTGCTGTGTGGCCTGTCTGTTGCCGACAGGCTGGCGTAGTAGGGGACGTCCAGCCCTGACCGTTGCTTTCCATGCTGAGCAGAGTGGGGGCTGTGGAAGTGTGGGGAGAGGTGAGGGGACAGGTGCCAGCAGGACCCCACCCCTAGCAGCCCCTGCTCACAGCGCACACCCTCCCCACACCCCGCCACACACAAACACTTAACAGCAGCTGTGGTGGGAGATCCGTGCAGCTGTGTGTCAGAATCGCCTGGCCAGTCCGTAGAAAAACATAGACACCTGGGTTTGATGAAGTAGGATATGGCCTGGGCCTTTTTTTTTTAACTACACCAAAGTGCGAGGGCCACTGGTGTACAGTGATTCCCCTGACATCACAGAGCGCCTGCTGCGTGCGGCTTTCACACGTATTATCTCATTTAACCTGCCCAAAACCCTGTGAGGTCAGTCTTATCACTCCCACTTAACAGATGGAGAAAGTGAGGTTCAGACAGGCTGAGTGACCCAGAAAGCCTGGCAGGGTGAAAGGGTTTGTTTGGTGGACCTGTCGGCACACCCTCCTAGACTGTGAGGAGGAGGAAATGGTTGGTGGGTGAAGGAGGAGTTAGGTTTCTGGAGAAGGCCAAGAGAGCACCACGAACTCCTCTGAGGCAGAGCCGGGGGCAGGAAGCTCACGGAGCAGCCTGGAAACCAGCCCCCGCTTATGCCTGTGCCTCTGAACAGCTTCTTGTCAGGAACTAGATTAGCTCTCTGCAAAACACTCACCAACTCTTTTTTTGCCCTAGATCCAGAAGATCTCGAGTGCCAGGAGCCCTCACCTGCAGAAGGGGAGCCTGATGTGGTCCCAGAAGCACCCTTCCAGGCCAGAGGCCACACACCGGAAGGGGCACCTCAGCTGAGTGGAGTGTGTGAATCTAGTCAGTACCACCCCTGCTCTTACCTGGACAGCTTCCCAGCGCCTCTCCTCCACATGGCGTTCACAGGCAGAATTGGGGAGGGTTCTGAGAAAGGAATGGGGAAGGCAGCAGACAAAGACCCAAGGAGACTTTAGGATGGGGTAGGGGGCACAGACTTGGCCTTTAAACTGGGGCGGTTGGGGCAGAGTTGCAGGTAGAGGACACCTGTCTATTCTGTGGGATGTAATTAACACCCCCCGTTAGTTTGCTTGAATGTTTCTTATGAAATTCCTAGCTTGCTCCAGGCCTCATAGGCAGTGGTGTGCTGGCAGGCAGGCTCTCCACTGGGAGAGAGATGCCCTGTTTTGTAGCCTTTGCAGATTTCCATGGCATAAATATTTTTTACCTTGGCTGATTTCAAGCTGCCAACAGTTTATAACAACTAGTCCACAAATTAATTAGCTGGGCATGGTGGTGGGAACCTGTATTCCCAGCTACTTGGGAGGCTGAGGCAGGAGAATCACTTGAACCTGGGAGGTGGAGGTTGCCGTGAGCAGAGATTGTGCCCACTGCACTCCAGCCTGGATGACAAAGTGAGACTCTGTCTAAAACAAAACAAAACAACTCGTCTACAAATTTCCTGAATAGTTTCAGTGAACTTAGTATGAGCAGACCCTGGCATACCGCTGGTTAGAACCCAGGTAGATGGGTGCATTTCCAATGGGTCAGTAGCCCTGGCACGTCACCTCCCTGTACTCTGATGCGCTGCCCCTCGTCCAAACTCCCATTCTTGACTGGGCTACTCTGCAGCCTGGATAAGGGACACTGGGAGGCCTCAGTTTCCCACCTGTCAAATAGAGCTGAATGTGGTTACAGGTGGGGCCCAGCAAGCCAGAGTCCCTTCTATTTCTATAAAGGGAACCCAAGCAAAGCTCTCACACTCCAGCTCTAGTTTAAGGCAAGAATTTTCTTGATCCACCATAACTAATGTGTGTGTGGTGTTTTAGAGAGAGAATACTGTCTTTCACAGGTGGATGTGTTGTTGCAGCACTTTGTTTTTGGAAGGGAACTGGGCATCACCCAGTCAATAGTCACTCAGTCCTTTCTTTTCCTTAGAGGAGCTCATCATCCTGAAGCTGGTGGCGCTTCTCCAAGAAGTGGATGGCCAACTGGGGCAGCAGGTGAGCACCACTCAGCCTTCCCCAGCCAGCCCCAGGGCCTCATCTACCCACAGCTGAGAACGGGGTTCCATCCCCAAGTCTGCACCTCGGGGCAACTTTGAGAATATCCCTTCACCTCTCTGAGCCTCAGTTACCTCTTTTTCAAAATGAGTGATAATTACCTACTCGACCAAGCTTAGTGCATATGTAGAAAATGCCAGACATGCAGCAGATGTGGGAACTGTTTAAAAGAACCCAATGCTCACATGACCCCCCTGCCAGCCAGGACCACTCCTATCCAAATCAGCGATTGAAGTTTGGCTCATGTCCCCGATCCGTGGAAGCCTCCTCTGCCCACTCCTGGCCTCACCTGTCTGGCTGATTCCATTCCCTGTGGTCTCTGGGTTCACTCTTGGCTTTGCTGTCCGCGTCAGCGTTCATATGGTCTCCCCTTCTTTCAAGCTTGTTGACTTTCCGTCCCTGCTAGGCAGTCTGTAACAGAAGGCTCCCCACCCTTGGAAAACATAGTCTATTTGGAGAGACAAGCACAGATCACATGTGAAGAGGTCAGGTTAAAGATGAGTAATCAGCATAGCTGACACTCCGGGTACCTCTCTTCACCACCAGAGTGTACACTGACTCATCCAGCTGCCAGCCCCTGCCTCCTTTTGCCTGAGGACCCAGGGCCACTTTGTAACCCATGTTGGGGGCAGAATTAACAGCCTCTACTTCCCCATAAGCAGCCCTCAACCAATGGCTGGTGGGAGTTGGTGGATAAACCCCAGCTCCCTCGCCTTTATGGGGCATAGCTGAGGAATGTGCTCTCTGCTCACTCCCAAGGTGTCCTGAGTAGATTAAGCTCCAGTTGCCACCCCCTGAGCCGCCTTCCCGTTCTTGTTCCAGGTCTCATTCCCCCATCAGCATTTCCCTGGGTCATTTAATCAATAAAATGCCTGTACCCAAGTCCTTGCGTCTGGGTCTGCTTCTGGGGAACCCATTTAGTTATTAAGAGACAGGAGTTTGTTGGAGGAGGCTTAGAAGGAACTGAAATTCATCCAACATCTACTCTGCACTAAACATTTTATATAACTCTTTCATTTAATCCCCCACCACCACCAACAATCCTGGGGCTGGATGGATATTTTACATTTGCAAATGATCAGAGGCTCACACACCTGGTAAGAGCAACTTAAGCGTCCCAATTCTAGACTGTCATACATTGAAATAATAAATTAAGATAATCTGTGAAATAAGTAGTAGCTAGCATAGACGAGAAGGCTCTGTGGGCTGTTTGCTTCTGAATTATCTGAGTCTAAAGACCTGTACTTCCACCCTCACCCTTTACTCTGTCCTGCTGCTTTGAGCTGGACCTTGTGGAACAGATTCTGAGAGGCTGGGGCAGTGGAGGGATGTAACAAGGGAGCTCATCCCAGGGATGAGGGGTGTCCCGCCTGGCTGCATGGAGTTTCGGGATGGGGTGGGGGGAAGTTGGCGGGAGGGGTGCTGCCAGTACCACTAATGACCTGCTTTCACTTCCGCTTCCAGATCAGGCGCCACCCCAGCTTTAAGAGGTATTTTTACAAGTTCTCGGACTCCTCCCTCAGCAAGCTGTTAGCCACCCTACGCAGCCAGGTGCCCCACTCCTCTCAGTGGGACAGGAACCTCGCCAGGAGACTCCACCAGTTTGACGTTCGCTTGGCTGACAAATTTGCTGGCAACAACAGCCACGCCATCTGCATCCTCATGGGCCTAAGAGACGGCTACAATCGCACCCACTTCCCAGACAGGGAGGACCAGCCGGTGAGTGAGGGCAGGGAAGGCAATGGCGACATGGCATGAGTGACAGCAGGCTCATAGCTGGCCTCCAGTGGCATCTACTGATTCTCCTCTCCCCTCCCCTGCTCACTGCAGAATTTTGGGGTCTATCTCAAATGCCACCTCCTCAGTGAGGCCTTCTGAGACAATTCTAAACAATGAAGACCTTCTTTTCTGAAACCTCACTGATTTTACTCCATAATTAGCATCTTCTTTATTTGGCTCTAGTCTTCAATTACATGTACCTTTCCATGCTTTTTGATGGAATGGCATCATCTATCAAATAAGGCGTGGCTGAGGTAGATGAGAGGGTTTCATGAGGTTGTTGGTTCTGAAAGGCTTCCAGGAGGCGATCACTCAGTGACCTGGCCTTGGTTCCTTAATGAACAGCCTCTCTCCTGCCGTCACCTTCACTGTTCTGAGTGCATTCACGCTTTTCCTAATAATTTCCTTTCCCCTAAGTCTCTGAGACATTCCCTTCAGAGATGATAATTGTCACTGGTTTTTTGTTTGTTTTTGAGCCAGGGTCTTGCTCTGTCACCCAGGCTGGAGTGCACTGGTGTAATCACGGTTCACTGCAGACTCAACCTCACTGGGCTCAGGTGATCCTCCCACCTCAGCCTCTCAAGTAGCTGGGACTACAAGTGCATGCCACCATGACTAGCTAATTACAAATAATTTTTTTTTGTATAGAGATGGATTCTCCCTATGTTGACCAGGCTGATTTTGAACTCCTGGCCTCAAGCAATCTTCTCATTTTGGCCTCCCAAAGTGCTGGGATTACAGGCATGAGCCACCACACCTGGCCTGATTTTTTTTTTTTTTTTTTTTGAGACACACTTTTGCTCTTGTTGCTCATTCTGGGGTGCAATGGCATGATCTCGGCTCATTGCAACCTCTGCCTGCCAGGTTCAAGTGATTTTCCTGCCTCAGCCTCCTGAGAAGCTGGGATTACAAGCATGTGTCACCACATCCAGCTAACTTTTTGGGGTATTTTTAGTAGAGACGGGGTTTCTCCATGTTGGTCAGGCTGGTGTCGACCTCCTGACCTCAGGTGATCTGCCCGCCTCAGCCTCCCAAAGTGCTGGGACTACGGACATTCCACCGTGCCAGGCCACCTGGCCTGATTTTTTAAAAATTACGAGCTCACATATTTTCTGGTGGACTCTGATAAAGATTTCTTCATCTTTTTCTAATTCACTTAACATAACCTGCCTACAAACATCTGACCCAGACCCGCAGGGTAGAAGCCACTGCATGAAGGTGTGACTTTAGAGGAACGACATGTTCTGTTTGCTGGTGTTGGACAAACAGGACCAGAACTTCTACATCCAAGTGGTCCGCTGGGAAACCAGACCCTTTTGCAGTGATGCTATTACCACCCAAAGCACTTCTGTCTTTCTTGGAACTACCTTTAGAAGCCATTTGAAAAGCCTCTCAAGAAAGCTGGCTTATTTCATGATAGTCGTATCTTGTCATTCGAACGCTCTGCCCTACTTTGGCTCATTTTCCTGATGGGAAATCCTCCCTACCTTAGACTTCTCTCTTCTTGGCCTCACCGGCTTCTCCTAGAGAACAGGAATGTTACAGATAATTTGGCCTCTAGGGTGGGTTAGGTAATAGCTTACAGAGTGATCTGAGTTCTTCATGAAAGATATTACAGAAGCATCGGTCTGACATCCTCAGTTGCCCTGACTCCATCTTCTGGTTTTACTAAACATTCATTCATTCATTCAACTGGTAGCTATTGACAGCCTCCTATGTGCTTGGTTGTACGAAGTGCCGTGAGGCTCTGTAGAAGGCTCTGCCTTCAAAGGCTTCATCTGCTAATGGAAAAGACAACTGTTTGATGACAAAATTAAATAGCAACCGAATGCCAAATGAGTGGTAGCTGAGGCCCATAAAGCAAGTTGGTCCTGCAAACCTTCCGGGAGGTGGACGTGCAGATTTTGACCTTTGAGAATGGGGGGCTGCCTGGGGAGAAAAGACCAGGAGAGCAACGTCCCCAGGAGGTGTTGCAAGAACAAAGACCCAGAGACAGAGGCTGGGGTGGGGTGTTGATGGGATGATGGGATGTCTGTTGTTTCCAGAGTGGAACCCATAAACAACTGGGCCATGGCTAACACCGAGGTTCTTTTTCTCTTCCCAGAGCATCGAAAGTCCTGAGATTCTAAGTCCAGATTGAAAGCTGTGTCTTGCACTCAAATTCCTTTGAACTAGCCAAACATTTGGCAGCTTTAGCCAAGAGACCCTGAAGATGCCCTATGACACCCCAATCCTTGCTTTACAAACACGATGGAAAACAAGAGCAGACAACCATTTTGTGTCCATACCCTAGTATATGAGAAGCACAAAGGACTCTTCCAGAAGGCAAGACACAGACGCTATGTCTGAGGAAATCAGCACTGGCCTGGAAGTGAAGAGACCAGGGCTCCACCTGCTGAACCTACTCCAGACCTGCTTTGTGACCCTCTACATGTCCTGTACCTCTCCAGACTTTGGAGTCTAGGATCTCACCCAGAAGGCCTACTGACATTTTCTCAGATGTTAGTTTTAACTGAGTCTAGTTTTTAAATTAAGTTTTTATTTAATCTCTAACCAGAACATCCACATGTATCCAAACAGATGTGCATCTAAATGTATCCCATCATTTCTTCCGTTGACCAGTCATTCTTCATGCTCATATGGCTTTGTAGATGCGTCCTAGGAACTCTGCAGGCCACAAATGGAAAGACCTGGACACTGAGGACGCTTGGTCTCTCAGAATCCTTCTAACCCTGTGTTCATAGAGCTGATAACTTGCACCTCTCCCATCTCATGGGGTTGGCTAAAAGTCAGTGAGAAAATGGATGTGAAGAGTCTGTAAATTACGTAGTGCCAGGTCCGTGTATGTACTATAGCTTCTTCTGGGTAGTTTTCAGGAAGTGGAGGAGGGCTTTCGTGGGCTGGACTGCCATGGATTGTTGCACAGGGGGCGCACTGCTCAAGAGCACCATACTCTGGGAGGTGCCATTCACATCCTAGACATTGTGGATTTGTAGATTTATGATGACAGTTTTCCAGCTGGTGGCAGTACAATGTCTTGAGAAAAGGGATGCGTTTTTGTATTTGCACAAAGGTGAGGTGCGGGGTGCCCGAGGCTGTGCCTTCTGTATAGCTCAACAGTTTCAACAGCTTGACTCGGGTGTGAAATTTGCCACACGTTCATATCTATGTGCAACATGGACAAAATTGCAGACGGACATCTGGCTCCCATGGACACTGCCCAGAACATGTGGTCATGGGGGAGAGGGTGATAAACCTGGATAGCAAGTGTGATCTTGTGACGATTGGGGACATGGTATCGCCGTGTTGAACCTGCTGTAGCACCATTGGGTAGGACTAGGGAGGAGGAGCAGCCTAGGGCGGAGAGGCCCTGGGCGCTTACATGGGGGGGCCTCCAACCAGAGGCACCAGCTCAGTAAGCTCAACTCAGCCTATCTGGAAAGCCATTTAGTTTTTATTGCTGCTTCTGAGAAGTGGGGGAGAGGTGAGCTATTTGTGGATTTGTTTAGGCAGTGTTCATGATCTTAGCACCCAAATGTGAAGGATCAGAATAAGTTATGAAATGGTCAGGAACCTTTTGTACACAGTTTCTTATTTAGAACGATGTTCTTTAACCTCTATGAATATTTGGTATGTGCTCCTGATGCTGGCATCTGAGTCTCATTTTTGTACTGTGTTATTTGAGCAAATAAATTAACCTGCACAAAAGTGTTATCTGGGTTATTCACCACGGAGGCAAGACAGATACCCACCAGCCACATCTGTGACAATCTGGTCCTGCAAGGCTGTGGGGTTTGGCCTCCTTGTCACTGCCTGGATCCCTCCAGGTGTCCCATCCTTGGAGTGCCAGCTTGTGGATGCAGTAAAACAGTGTCCTGGGTTAGGTGTCAGGAGACCTGGGTTTTAATTCAGCTGCCCCCAGGCTGGGTGACCCTGGGGACAAGATACTTGGCCCTCCAGACCTGACATTCTACAACTCAGTGACTCTCAGTGTGACAGTTCCTTGTATGACCAGGAAAATAGAGAGCAGTACTGATTCTACCTTGCCTCTTACTAGCCCCCAAAATCTGGTGCTTAAATTCTGTCACACAGAGCAAAGATAAAAAATTGTTAGAATACAGTGCTAGGTTTTTCATCCATAAAATCTGGTCTCCAGGGAGACATGGATGACGTCCTTTCTCCTCTCTCGGGTGACACAAGAGTGTCTGTTCCTCAGCCCCTGAAGTCTCCCCTCAATGCTCCAAGGACAGCAGGAGGAGGCAGCACTATTACCCTCCTCTAACAGATGAGGAAACAGAGGTTCTCAGTGGGGAAGTGCCTTGTTCACGGTCACACAGCCAGATACAGACAGAACCCAGCCAGGACCAGGCTCTGAGAACTCCTAGTTTAGTGTCCTTGCCTCCAGTTATGATCTGATCCATTAGCTCCTTTATTCCACCAATGTTTATTGAGCACTTACTATGTTCCGGCTCTGATGCTAACTGTGTGGTATAAACAAATGCAAAAGACACAACCCTTGCCCTCAGGATGCTCATGGACCCCACTGGTTATGGAGCTTTTGAGCCAATAGGAATACAGGGCACCATGTTAGGTTGCTGTGGGTGAGTGGGGGCCCTCAACTCCCACTATAGATGTTTTTGGGTTTTTTTCCCCCAAGTGCTGGCAAGTATGTAGAGCAATACAGACGGTTTTTATAAGAGCACTGAGGTGCATGGGAGTTCCTCCTTTTCTGCATGGCTGTAAAAAGGTAGGCAAGTGACAT